GCTCGAGATCGAGAAACTGTTTGGTCCCATATTATTTAATATTACTTTATGGCGAATAAGAATTAGGATATGTTATTATGGATCGCTAATGTCTACAATTATTTCCTATCTTTTTACCGTCTTATATTTGTAAATAAAATGGCCTATTGCCACATATTACTGTCATATATTGATATATGTCCTAATGAATGAGCTATTATTAATATTACGCCTTATTTAATATATTTTACTTTACTCTATGGTATTTTCTTACTACAATAAGTTAACCTCATTTCTGTATGATAAATTATTAGATCATTATGCTATTTTAAAAAATTCAACTAACCAGAATTTCTTGTTTATTACCTTTATTTTTAAAATTATAAAATATATCATTTAACTTTTAATAGGCAGAGTACTTTGCCACTACTCGAGTTTCAGATCTAAACTAAAAATGTTTTATAGGCTGCTGAGGTCATTTTCTTTAGTCTATGTATTACTGATAGTTTTTACTAATATTTCCTGTATACGCTTAGTTTCAGATTTGCATTTCTACGGAATATATTTCGGTCCGGTAACGCTACTCTTGGCCTCTCTTTTCTTGATTCTCTTTTCGGGATCGCCCTCACTTCTGATCAGCGTGCTGGTCTATCCTGGCGCTTTCTTATCGCCTTGCTTTTACATAAAATGCTGCCCGAATCGACTAAATCCGCTTCTACTAGAATCGACATCATTTGTTCTGCTGATGATAGCTCAGCCGATGTCACCGGTTTTATGTCGGCTGTCATGTCAGATGGCCTCGGCGAGGTCGTTAAGGATTCTGATCCAAAACTAATGTTGACGCATTTATCAGCTGAGCATGATTCAAAAAATGTATGTCTCCCTTATTTTTTCGGTGCATTTATCAATCGTAACTTATTTATATTTTAATTTATTTATATATTACTCTCTGCCAACATTTAAACTTATGTTTTATCTTTCTGGCCTGAGCCATTATTTTTGTTTTTATGAAGCACTTTTCTTAATCTTAATTAGGGTTATGGGATTTTCTAGTCTATGATGAAAGATAAGCCAAATTAACCTTACTATTTTTCGCACCATTTAACTAAATTTAGCTTGGCTAAATATCTCTATTAATTCATGATGGTTTTTTCATACATACTTGAAATATTTTTACGTCACGCGTTTTATTTTGGTTAAATTGCTTATACAGTCTTTAATTATCAAATGATTCATCCCACGCACAAGACTCACTTATCTATTTGGCTGATTGATCGTGAATATAATTTCTTTTCCTTTTTAATACACTACTATTTATTATTGAGATTCGTATCTAACTATTGTCCTATTCTCAGCGATTGATCCATCTCTTTTAAGTTAACTTATTAATATGATCCTTGTGCTATGGAATGTAAAACTTGGAGTGCTACATGACATTGATTTTTATTCTTTTCATCTCTTCAGATAGGTCATTTCTCCTTGCGGTATATATTATTTTCATAAGACAAGTCTGATGAAGAAGGTTC